AAAATGTGAATTAAGAAAAATATAATCCATGGATTTAGTTAATGCAATAAAAGGTTCTATTAAAAAGACCAATAAGGTTTAATTTTCAAAAAATAAACATATTCAGGCGGCATGTTTAAAAACATAACGTAATGGTAGGGCACAGTCAATTATATAATAATAATTATTAAGTATCATAATCATTAGTGATAAGCAAGATTAATTGGTGACTAGGCGTTTCAATATATAATATATAACCTGAAAGTTTTCACGGATTCTGGATGGGGTAACACTCTTCGGAATGCAAACAATACCGCGTTGAATGCAATGCCGAATCAAAACCTGTCCTGTCGTTTTATGGTGCCTTTCAGCGATCTCCTTAACCCAGGGCTCATCCAGCGGCCCAGATCTGCCTTGAGCACTAAAGTAAAAATCAAAGAGCCAAATCTAAACATCATGAAAAGATAAGCCTTAGTCATTCGATCTCAAATCAGAAAAGTCTGGCCGTAGAAAACAATAAAAATGGCATGATTCCTAGAGTTAAGGTGCTTTAACATGGAATAAGGTGAAAATTATACAAAAAACGCGTACCATATCTCGGAAATAGAGTATACATGGCGGACTCAATATTCCTCAGACACGATTTCTAGAAATTAAAACTAGCTAATCCAAATCATTATGAATACAGAGGGCAGACTGATTAGTGAGATGGGTGACATGCTAGGGATAATAAATAGGGACAAGTAAATATTTACTTTGCACAGACACGGTGGACAATTCGAATGAGTGGTATTAACCTCTCGCATAAATAAGAAAGGTGTAATATATGACATAACAGGTAATGTCTTGGTGGCTATGACGTGCTCACAGATAGCTGTTAGCACCAACACAAAGTCCAGCATTTGTTGGAGTATAATAGTAAATCGATTAACTCCTGGTTTTTCTGAACAGTCATATGCAAAGGGATCCCTTGCGGAGATACATGGTTAGTAATAGCAACAAAGACGAAGCATTTGCGATTGAGTGAATGCGCACTAGGACTTAAAGAAGTTCAAGGTGATAGAATCAACTTACAATGAACTGGCAGGCGAGCCAAAGGGCGCATAAGCCGTAATTCCAATATCAACGGACTTAAGAAATTTAACTAGTTTTTCGTTCGTGAAATGAACATGAATCTCGATTTGATTCATCACAGGCTTGATACGGCAGCAACTAAGTATCCGTTCTGTTTGCCTTTTGTTATAGTTAGAAATTCCGATAGACTTAACGAAACCAGCGTCAACCAACTTTTCCATTTCCTAAACAAATAAATTAAAATTACCAAAGGACTCACCCTCCAGGTGTTTTCAAGTTTAACATTGTCCAGATAATCACCCTGAGGAAAAAGCTCTTTGCTGTGCTGCAAAATGAAAATTAATATAATTTTTTGCTTGGAGATTTTCACAAGTGCTTTTGAAAAGCAACTCTATGCTTAGTTTAGAAACAACAGAATTTTCTCAATGGATAGTAAAAATTACCTTGTAGGCAACAGGCCAGTGAACAAGAAAAAGGTCAATATATTCCAAATTAAGTAATTTTAATGATTTCTTACAGCCTTCTTCTACATACTCTGGACGTGAATGCGTAATCCATAACTGAAACGAAATTTAGTTAATGGCGTTGAGAAATTTTTAAAAT